TCACTCGATCTCTAGAAACTCAGTTTCCTCAGCTGTCAAGTCAACGTAATGCCTTTTTTGAGGGTCAGATATATTACTGTGCAGTTTGTGAAAGCCTCCAAAGAATGCCACAGCACTCACCGTGCCCATGGTCAGCTAACAGATAGAAGAGTTCACTGAGATGTGTCCTGTCCTTTGAATCCAGGCCTGCAGGTTTTCACACTCAACACATGATCCTTCACCTGCTACCTTTATATATATATATATATATATCTTTGGTCTCATATTTGTATCCTGTAACTGTCCAATAAAGCAGCTTCATTAACCACAGGAAAACAAAGGGTTTGGCCACCTTTAGAAACTGCTGCTGACCACTGAGCTTCCCACAGACCCACTGTGTGATCCACATCTGCCTTGCTGCAGTGTCCCAGAAGTTTTTTGTGTTCTTTTTTTCTCAGGGCATTCTCAGACCATTATTTATTTCCTAAGTCAGGTGTTTCTTTTATCACCTTTCCAAAGTCTTTAAATATTAGTTAAAAAATGCTGAAGGTTGTTCCTTTTATAATACTGATAGCATTTATTACAAAGATGAATTATTAAACTTGGTGACACTTTTTAAAATGCTCTCGGTCAAACAAGAACTGTGTGTAGGATACTACCGTGAAGTCTCAAGACACTGCCCTGAAATTCTTGTACGTAGCCCTCCTCTGCTGAGGCCCCAGGGCCTAAGTGTGGAAACAGAGCAGCATCATGTCATTAAGAACAGGAACCTACATTCCAATAAAACTTACATCACCGACATCACCAGGGTTTTCTCTCCAGTCTCTTTAGAAGTAGATTTCTCCTGATCATGTGAAGCTGACCAGCTTTACTTTCTAAAGGCAGGAATGACTGTGTAAAATGACCTTTCCTTCTCTCTGGCTCAAGGAAGCTCCTAGGCTAGTGAGAAATGTACAGAATGTTTTGCCTCTGCTTTTCTCACACTTCATACCCCTCAGTTCTTAAGTCTCCTGCCCAGGTAAAGTACTGCCCAGCACCTCCCTGATTAATACTTGACTGGTCCAGTTTTCTTTTTCCAAATGGATTTATTGCAACCTCTGGTCCTAAGTCTACACTTTCATGGGGTGGGGAGGGAAACAAGGGCTGAGGAGAGTTCCTTACAATATTCCACAAAAGGCAGAACTTTTGTAAGGGGCAAAAATGAATATATACAAATAAAGCAATGTGGTACAGACTCTCAAATTCACCCTGAGGGTGCAAGTGCTCTTACACCTGCATTATAGAGAGCTGAGACGCAGAAAGGTGAAAATGGAAGGCACTTTCAAGATGGTGTCTTCCAGCCTCTACATTTTATAAAAGGACTTACCCAGTGTGGACGAGTCCTTTAGGGAAGCATATTTTTTATACTTTCACTGTACATACAGGAGCTTCCCTTGAGCTCGGGGTGGGGAGAGTTTTGGGCATGATGTTTCGGCGGTTTGGCAAAGTACTGGGCATCCGGAGCGCACAGAGCGGTGTAGGGAAGCCATTGAGAGAGGGAGCTCTGCAAGCGACAGGTCTGGGTTGGTGTCTCAGCCCCTCTCGAGCCATATCTCCTGGCATGAGTAAGATACTTTACCTCTCCACACCTGTTTTTGCATCTGTAAAATGGCATTTGTAATATTTCCTATTTCATGGGTTCATTGCATGTATTAAATGAAATAATGCATATGAAGTGGGCTGCACAGTGCTGGGCACACGGTAGGCACTCAAGTGTTCATTCTCTTCATTGTCTTCTTTATAATCAGTTTTCCAGTCTTGTAATAGTTTTCTCAACATTAAAATACAAGTCCTAATGTTAGCACTTTTGTTTTAAGTGAGATAATGCATATAAAGAGCTTGGAAGAGTAGCTGCACTTTGTGATTATTCATTAAGTACTAGCTGCTGTTATGATTATGATTATGGCTATTATTATGACTGTCAGTAGTACTATTTCACTCAAGTAATACTCAAATAGTCTATATCTTCTTCCAGCCCAAAGATTGGGACTATGCCAGGAAAATAAATCAGCAGCAAGGTGAAATATTCTTAGAATCTAAGAGAGTCTGAAATGGGTTACCAACAGGGTATTGCATTTACTAAGATGCCTCACTGCAGTTGTATTTAGAAGATCAAATAAAAGAATTACCCACAAAGCCGAGAACAGAAATACAACTCAAAAACCTGAAGAATGATAGGCTGATAAGTAAGATGTTTTCCACCACGTGGACCCTCAGCACAACTCACATCTATCCCAAGAGGGCCTGTCTAGCATTAAGGTCTGTTGCCAGGAGACCATCAGTAAGACTCCCTGTCTGCCTTGTCCGCTCAGGGTGGCCCTGCCCCTGAGGCCCTGGTGGTAACCGCCCTCCGGAGCTGGCCCAGTGTGTCTTTTCATTCCCTCAATAGAGCTTCTCTCATCACTTGGAAGCTTCCCCGGCTCAGAGCTTCATTTTACAGATTCAACATTTACTAAGTAATGCTTTTAAAAATAAAATCTGGTAGGATCTTTATGGGCTTAAATTTAAAGTTCCGTAACTGTACAGTTGACCTTCGAAGTTCACTTTAACAATAAAATGAGAATATTTGCATTCTTTTCCTGAACTCAGTTTTCTATTTCTATTTTGCTATTTTATTGTACAAGCTCCTTTGGGGAGAAGGCAGAATATAAATAAATTAAAGGCCTCACACCAACATATAAAAGCCATCAAATCCTCATTTTCTTAAAGGCGCACTATTGAAAATGGCATAAAAATCATTTTGTAGAATTTATATGTTGCTGAAAAGTAAACCAATGTGGAGCACAAGCTCCTGCTGCACCTGGGAATGACACAGGCACCGTGGGGATGGAATCTGTGGTTCAGTGGGTGCCAGTCCGTGTGTCAGAGGCAAATACAGTTCGCTTTAATAGTGTGATATCTCTTCACTCATCTTAAACACCTTCAGGTATTTGGAAAAGGAAGAAGAAATAAAACAGATGAACCTGCTGAGATACAACCAGGAGCAGTAGTACTTTATTTTGATTGATGTTTTTACAACCTTATCTTCTAGATAAAAGCTACTGTAAACAAAAGCCTACCTAAATTGATTGTATTTAAAGGAAGTGAGAGCCACCTGTGTGCAGTGATTAGGTCCCAAGTGCTTTGTTTTCCTTCTTAGTAGGTAATTCCTACTTACCTTGGCTGCCAGGAGTGTCTCTTCCAGGGACTCATCCTCCTGTTTCCTACCAGGCTTTAAACCATGGCGGCACCATCTCCCCCATAACAACTGGAAAGTATAGATTTCTAATAGCAAAACCTCTGGGACGAGGTCTCAGAGTGTGAGATTTGGGCGTACGTTTAAGGCTCATTTTCTCACCTTTAAAAATGACTTTCCTTCCCTGAGAGTTATCAACAAAAGATTTTTTTCCAGTTGCATGAAAACACTCACAGTTGCTCCTGGGGTGGGGAATCTAGAGTGGTGTTCTTTCTGCATTCATACATTCACTGAGCCAGTACTTTCTGGCTGACTCCTGTGTGCCAGTGAAATATGCACCACCCTCATGAAGCTTACACTCTAGAAGTGTTTGCTTAATAATTACAGATTATCCATATATCCTTTCTTTTTTTCTAAGACCCATTTTTTCTTTTTTTTTCTGTTTCCTGAACATTTTTCCTGATGTCCTAGATGGTCCCAGCATCTAATTTTTCCCCCTTCCCAGCATTTGCTTTTATGGATCTATAAAATTGGGAGGTTTGCTTTTGAAGACTGTGTTGTTTAGCCAAAGAGATTTTCCTTATCATGAAATATTTATTGTAAGAGAAAAATTTAACTACCCATTTAGAGCAAGTTGGGATCTGACATACCTGAAGCACTGTGTCACATTTGGTTAGTGATAGATTTATAAGGCAACATGTATCTGCCTTAATCCTTTAGTTATTTGACTTTTGCCAAGGATGAAAATTCCAATAATTTTTTATTTTAAGCAGACTTTTGTATATCCAGAACCCATAAATCTCTTTGCGCCTTGAGATAAACGTCTGAGTGAACTCTGGGTTACCCTGTGATCTTTTAAGAACTGAGCCAAGGAAAAAGACACCCCATTCCCCCTCTTCCTAATAACAAAAGATGACATGAGAAAAACACATTTGGGGCAAGAAATATTTATATGAGCCTCTTTTCCATTTTATAATACTTTTCTGCTTTCAAGTATTCAGCAAATTGGGAATGAAAAGTTCAGAAATAACCTGAAAATGTATTGGAGCAACTCTATGGTAGACTCACTGGCGAGCACCGAAACAGACTGTCACACCGTCAGCCCAGGCTTTGCCAACAGGATGATCACCATCCATTATGGTTGTCATGTCAATTATAAATTCTCTGGCATCAAACCCTAAATCAGCTGAAGTGATGGGTTTACCTTTGGCATGTTTCCCTTGGGAAATAACTGAGAAAACATGTAATAATTCACACAACCAATTCTGTAAACTACCCAACTTTCGGAAGACCGAGATATAAATTCTAGGTAGGTAGATATGATTTGCACCCAAGGACTCCCAGAAATGTTATGTCACTCCTACTACTGAAATGTTTCAAAGTAAACATGGCCTTGGGTGCTTTGTGGCTTTCAGGGTTTTGGTTTCCTTTGCTGCATTTGGCATTTCTCTCTTCCCATTTGAAGATGTGTACTGTCCTCTCCATCCATCCTCATTTGAAACAACCAGGGCCATCATCACACTTCAGCTCATCCTCCAGATTCACAAGGAAACAATCTTAGTGTGCTTCCGATCCCTCATTCCCACTGCATCTCTTGGGACCCATAAGTCCTACTCTTCATTCTCCCTTCAAAAAATAAACAGAGAATGGAGAAAATTCAGAGAGCCATTGTATGAATAAATGCAACTTAGCTGACAACTCACCTTGTCTAGGAAGACAATAGAACACCATGTCATTGCTATAATTCTGCTATAAACCTGTTAGCATATTGTGTATTCTATTGATAACTGCTCTTTTACAGTTAACATAGAAACAAATCTATTCACATTTTATTAAACTTGTAGTTGTAAACAACTTAAGGAGAAGGAGGACCCTTTCGTTGGTGACTTGTGCTCTCTGCAGGATGGGCATGCTGGCTTGTAGCTTCTTCACAGGTAAATGCAGAGGGGCTGATCCACTGCCGGGAGCAGGCCTTTCTCCAAGGAAACAGGTCTGAAAGACAACAGATTAAAGACAAAATAGCTTCTGCCTTTGTTTTCTGTTTCACCTATTTTAGTTTTTCTCTCCTGAGGACAGATTTATGATAGGCTAGAAAGACTCTAAGCATGGCATTTAAGTATATCCAACACAGGATAAAATGAAGTGGAAATTAAGCCCTTTTCCAGGCAATTTAATGTAGACGTGAAAATGCCAAGTTATATAAACATCAAGGAGAATTTCAGGTGGTTGTGGTTGCATATTTATATACATTTTAAATTCTCTTCAAAATAATGTGTTTTCTGTTTATTTTTTATGTGGCATAAAGGCCTGAAGTGAATCAGCATTTATAATTTTTCCTCTTTTATTTTCAAAATTATAGTGAATTGATGTTACAAAGAGATAGGGTTGCATTTTTAATAACCAATATCCATGAATGAAGTGAGAATATGTGTCACTAGGGTTCTTTTTTGTCATTGCACTTTGCAACCGTGGACCTGCCAAACAGATGAAACAACCAAGTTATATTTTTGCTTCATCTCCAGAAACTGCAAAAATAAAAGAATATTTGCATTGTGTATTAAATTGACCATGGTACCAGAACCTAATGGTATTATATTACAGGATCACTAATCTATTATTATTGTACACATATTTACACACAGGCATAAATACACACGTACTTTGCATATAAACATGTGCAAGCATATTTCACTTGGACTGAAAGTTATTTACAACTCTGTCTGGAGATACATACAACAGTGATTAACAAGTGCATAACCAATCTACAACATGCAGATTAAAACTAAATAAACAGTGTAAGAGTTTATTTTAAAACAATTACAAGATGTTTTATATTTCTCCTTCGTCCTGAACTGTGTGTATGAGAATGCATCCTTCATAAAAACCACATGCAAGTCTTTTTGATGGTGAAGCAATTGACTTCCTACAGCCACATGTCTGCATACATCCTCAGAAGATATCCCAGAGCCCACACAGCAACTCAAAAGGAGGAAGAAAGAGAGAGAAACAAAAAAAGGATATGATTCTCTGCTCTTCCTCTTCTGAAGAAGGTTTTTTTAATTTTCCTATGAATTAAAAGTTTTGGGTTGGAAAGAAAGATATTTGAATGAATACAATTATGTTTTTTTTTAATTGTTTGAACACCCTTATGAATAACATACTTGACTAAAATCATCAAATCACTCCACAGTCCTCCTGTTGTCCTTCCATTGAAAATTATTGTTGATCCCTATTTGGGTTGTAGAGCCATAGTGCACTGAGAGTCCCTTTTTCTGTAATCATGTTGATTCAGCTCACAGAGAAGTTTTAGATCAATTTCATGAGTTTCCTTTATTCTATGTAGAGAGGCAAATTCTTTAACAGTATATGAATCCCTTCAGGTGTATTATTACCAAAAGATATAAAAGCATGCTGATTTTTTTTAATATGTACTGATTTTTCTCATAGAGCTGAAAACATAGATAATGCAAGTTAATGCCACAACCATAAGATACATCTGTATACCAGAGATATTTTAGGAGCAAAAATGGGTCTTTCGGGTTCACTGTATCAACCGAGCTTAGCAAGTCTGAACTGTCTTTTCTGGCAAAAGAAATCTCCACCTGACGTGCTCACTTAGATCCGTTGCTTCCCTTAGTTTTCCTCATAACTTATTCCAGCTGTTTATTTGCATTAGAGGAACAGGCTGTGGCAGTGTTCTGGATTCACTCCTCTTTCCGCATAACTTCTGAATCCCCTCACAGTGGGAAACATTTCTTTCTGATTCTGTAATTCTTGTTCTCCAGCTTACTTCCACCTGATTGTCAGATGCTTTAAATATGTTCCCTCAAATGTAATCATTAATTTGTTTTACCTGCATTAGAAGTTACTTTTCCATATGCTTCCTAAACATGATAACACTTAAATTGAAATGAGTAGCTAGGTAAGGTTTTTACTGTGAAACAATAATGAGTTCATCCTTGAGATTCACCCATCTACAAGGAATAATTCTTCATCTCATACACTGAGCTTTTGATTAGTCACCTGCCTTCCAGGCCCCTGCTTTTCTCCCTTCCAGGTATTGTAAATATTTTTCAAAGTTGAGTGACTGTTATAAATTGCTGTGTAAATACAAGAGATAAAGAGAGACAGCACAGTATGGTGGTTACAAGCACAAGCCTCAGAGCCAGACTGCTTGGGTTCAAAGCCCAGGACCTGTTGTGCCTCCATTTTTTTTCTTCTGTAAAATGGGGGTAATCGTCACACCCCTCCTCATAGGTTGCTTGTGAATATCAAATTAGTGTGTACATGGAAAAGTGCTTGGCTCACTGCCTGTCAGGCAGGAAGTACAGTAAATGTTAGTTACCTCTCTGTTGGTTATTGGAGTCATATCATTTTATTTGTATATTTAGGCAACATCTTTATAGATCTAATGCCTTGTCAGGCCGTCTGAAATCTGGAGCAATAGAAGCTAAAGAGGCTTTGGGAAACTAACCAGGGAACCCGTTATTGGGGGTACTTAGCAAAATGATATCTAACAGTATCACTGGAAATCTCTAAATTCCTACAGATTTCAGCACTCTCCGAAGAAGATGCCTCAAGAAAAATTCTAACAAAAGAAAGTTAATAGTCTTCTCTCTTTTCTCCTTAAATAAAAATACCATCCAAGAAATGCCTGCATTATAGAAAAGTATAGAGGTGTGGCAAGGAAGGGCGGAATATTTTTTTTATACTTAAGAGTGAGTAAGCAAGTCCTTTCCTGAGTTTGGGAACCCAAGTTTTCTGTCCATACCTCTGAGTTTCTCAGTCATAGAAAAACAAAGACATGATTTATAACTTATACCATATTCTGTCCAGCATTCATAAACTGACATCCATGAACTTAGTTTTCCAGAAAACATAAACATTTTTTCTGGAAAACTAAGAATTTTCTCACTAAATTACCATTTTTAAAACATTTTTGGTGACAGCCATTTAAAAATATATTACAGGTTGCACTGCCTTTTTTAACTGAACAAAATGGACCAACATCTCTTTATCCTGGACTGTCCTTAGCCCCCTATTGAGACTGACACCAACACCAACAGCCAAGCCTTGGGTCACCACAGTCAGACTGTGTTGTTTTGTTTTGATGCTTCTTCCCTAGTTGTCAGCAGTCACCCACCTTGACTGGCAAAATGTTCTGCCTGTAACTAGCCTCCCTCATGCTTTCACCACCTTCTTCAAATTTGCAGGTTCAGAAGCCCAATAACCAAGTTTAACACCAAAACCACAGCACTGGAGAAAATATCCAGAATTCTTCATTTTATATATGATTTCTCTACCTTTGTGGGTAACCCCAGTATATGCAGCAGGGAGGGGTATTGGGTGTACAGTCTAAGTTAGGAGCCAAGAAACTGTTACAGAGTTGCTTCATAACCAGTTTGCCCTGGTGAAGAGTTGCTATTATTGATAATCTCATTGAGTAACCCCTTCTGCTAGTAACTGAGGAAAAAAGCCATCTATACCAACATTTTTGTTATAGATCCTGTGTACTGCATGTGTGAAGAATGATATTGGATTGCTCAAGTCTGTAATGTGTGTGTGTGATCTATTGCTATATAGCAAATTACCCTGAAACTAAATGACTTAAAATAATATGCATTATCTCTGTTGTTTTAGAGGAACATAGCTTAGCTGGGTTCTCATCACTGTTTCGCCCAGGCTGCATTCAAGATATTGGCACAGGAAGTATGGTCTTATCTGAAGGTCTGACTAAGGAAAGATGCACTCCTAAAAGATGCACTGTGGTCATTGGCAGGATTCAGTTCCTCATGAGCTGGGGGCTGGGAGCCCCACTTCCTTGCTGGCTCTTGGCCACAGGTCACCCACAGTTCCTTGCCACATGGGCTGCTCCCAAATACTTTTGCTTCACCAAAGTGTATAAGCCAAGAAGGGAAGAGAGAGTCTGTGACAGTGGAATTTGGTCTTTTATAATCTAATGACAGAAGTGATGTCCGATTGCTTTTGATGTATTCTTTTTGTTAGAAGCCAGTCACTAGATCAAGCACATGTTACACAAGGGCAGGAATCCCAAAAGGCAGGGATTCCTAAGGCCACCTTAGAGGGTCAGCACACCACGATATCTCTCTGCAATGCAGAGAACTGCAGCACCATCACTGCTGTGGGTATTCTCACTATTGGTGTTGTCCAGTTTAGTTGGATGCTTTTCTTCTGTCCCTGTCTTCCTATAGATAACAGTGGTGAGACTCCTTTCCATAGTCAGTTCTAAAATGGTATCTTTTGTAATACCTGAGGGTCTTTCCTTGTAGCCTGTTTTTTTACTGTGAAGATGAACCTTATGTGTAGGAACAGATTAATTATAAATTTGCTAAGTATTGTCACACATCTTTAATATGTCTTAGAGTTACCCATTTCATTGACTCTTTGTATATGCTTTTTGTTTGTGTGTTATACATTCACAAGGGCAGGAAATAGAAGAAGGTTGAACCAATGAGAACAATATCCCTCAGTCTTGCCCAGTTTGAAGATCTTTAAGACAAAAACAATTTTGCTATCCCCCATGTGATTATAACTGTGCTTTTAGATTCCATCTACTTAAAAATGAATAATAACCAAAAAAAATTCTGTTTATCTACGCTTTCAAAATAAGACATGCACCGTTTATGTTTTTCTGTGTGAGGATAGTGCTTGATGTGCATAAAGATCTCTTGCAGTCTCTTCACAACCCCTCAGGGATCTCTGGTCCAAGTTTGGGAACTTCTGAGTTAGATTGGGTCAAGCACCCAAATGCCCACTAGATCAGGTAAGCAAAATAAATGAGCAAAGTAGGCAGGACATAAAAAATGTGTCTTCCATTTCTTTCTTGAAACATGTAACTCTTTGAAGTTATTTTTGCTTTCTCACATTTTATAGAGATGTGAGTGTGGAGAAATGGGTCTCCACAATTAAAGAAAACTTACAGTACAAGCATGATGACAAATGGCCTCTGGTGCTGCACCTCAGCACTGGGGAGTAACAGAGAATGGTAGAGACTGCGGCAGACCTGAAAATGTCTGTCATGTCTAAAGGGAACAGCTGTTACTGAGCTGCAGCTGACTGTTGCCAGACTGATTAAATTCTCAAAAGATGCTGAATATGCAAGACTGGGTAAAAACTCCCAATTTTTATGTGTTGGCTCAATTTTTGTTAATTAATGAAAGCCCAGCTTTGATTTAATAGGTCCAGTCACAGAAATGTCCCTAGTTTGCAGGGTAGTTTATTCCATCTTTTCAAAAGCTACAATTGTAGAAAAATTATTACTTGTGTTGATCAAAATCTGATTCCTAGTTACTTTCAGGCAGTGAGCTAAGTGTGTACTCAGGAACTAAAGCCTGAATCCAATCCCTTCCCCCTAAAAGTGCCCTAAAACCCACAGGATGGTGAACCAGTGTGTTGCCACCCGAAGTGCTTGTTTCCAGGTCACACATACTGTTACTCAAAAATATTCCAGAGTTCTCCTCTGGATCATTTCCAGACTAGAGATATTCCCTTAAAAATATAATACCAGAACCCCCCTAAACACCCTGGGGTGGTCTAACCAGTACAGGGGGCATTTCCCCTCTCTTTTCTGGTTAAAGTCTAGTACTGTGACACACCATTAGACTGATGAGTGCATCATCATGGGTCAGTCACAGACCCTACAACCAGGCTGCCTGGGTTCCAAACAGCCCTCCATTTTTTGGCTAGGAATCTGTGGCAAACGACTAGATTGCTCTGTGCCTCCATGCCTCGGTCTCTTACTTGCAGAGTGGAGATAATAATTGTACCCACCTTGTGGAGTTGACCTGAGAATTAATGAGTCAATATGTGTAGAACACTTAGAACAGTGTCTGGCACATAGTAAGTGCTGTGAAGGAGTTAATTAATTTGACATTGTTAATAAACAGTGTTGTAGCTGTTATTAGTACTCTCCCCATAATTGCTACATATGCCATTAGTGCGCTCATCATGGTCACTAATAAAAATTCCATGGCATCGGCTGTGTCCGGCCAGCATGCCCATCTCCAGACCGTCCTGTATTCAGTAACCAAGACAAAGCTGTCTAACCCCATTATCATTCACTCCGTGTTCTCCGTCACTCATATTCCAGTCTGTGTTCCACAGGAGTTTTTTTAATCCATTTGGATGGAGTCTTTGATCTTCTTACTTGACCATAAGTATAGTAACCTTAAAATTACAGTCAACCTTGAAATGTGTTTACAGAATCAATGCAGATGTCCATATCCATCCCATTACTGCACGTCTGTGGACTGGTAGGGAGGGCTGCAATCCCAGGAGCAGACCAACCCTCTGCTCTGCACATTCCCTCAGACCCAGGGACTCTGTTTACTTCCAAACGCAGTTCACAGTCTCTGATTTTTATTGGCAACAGAGGTTATGTTTGCCTTCCCAGCGATCTCATTCTTGTCTAGTAGGGCCACAATAAATGGGAATTGGCATCAAAAAGGTGAATCCACTCAACCTGCCAGCATGTACTTGACCTACATAAAACTTTTCTACATCCTGTTTTCTCCCTAGTTGACACCTTTTCAGAAGGAAATGCTAGGGTTGGATTGCTTGGTTTTTCAAATTATCAACCAAAATGTTCCCTTCCGTCAGTTCAGATAACCAAGGAATTGATTATATAAAGTTGCTTAATGTGGTCAGCTTCTTCATAAACAGATAAGTCGCTGAAAGGTTATCTCACCACTATGTGATAATCTTGGGATCCTGAGTTGGAGAAAACTCAGAAATATGCTAAAGTAGGTATTGGGAACAAGGCCAGTTCTTGTTCTGTCATTAAAGTTCCAAACTTGTCACCCTCTGAAGTCCCTGTTATTTTGTTATTCAAAGAACACATAATTTGAAAGCCTCTGTCTACCATCACCGTTTACAAAGGGAAGTCATGTTTCCTCGTTGTCAATTAAACACATGTTGTCAATCAGAGCTTTCAAGCCACAGAGAGAGCTAGTAGTATGTAAGTTAATATAATCCTATCCAGAAGCTAAGAAACAGACTTAGATAGATGGTGAGCCTTCCCATGAGACCCTGTTCAGAGGGACCGAGAAGAGCCCGTGGTCTGTGATGCCGCCCTCAGGGAGTCCTGGGAGTGAACCGCCCCACGGGTGTTCAGGTTCACAGTCTTGTGAAACCCCTTTCAAGTTGCGGATTTCATCTGTTGCCTCACAAGTGAAGCCAGTCCATTTTCTTGGGCACTGAGGTGTTCCCCAGCCTGGCTTTTCTGTCTAGAAAATGCCATTTTTGTAAAGAGCTGTCATGCTTCCTGTCCTTTGGCTTATGATTTAGCTGTTCAGGAAAGGTGCAGGCTGCTCTTGCTTTCTCAGTGCTGGTGATACGTTTTTGTTTTATTAGATCTTTAAAATATCGGGCTCGTGGTTTATGAGTCCTGTATATACTTTTGTTCTTTTTCTGTGACTGGTCAGACCACATTTTTTTTTCTCCCTTTGTAACAGTAATAGTGCCTTTCTAAAGAATATCATGGTCTCCAGAATGGCTGCATAATGCAATGGAGGGATGTGTTGGGCTTAATGTCAGGTCGGTCGAGGTGTCACCCAGGGTCTTTGCTGATAGGAAGGTTTGAAGCTTCTCAGACATGGCCCTCGGATTCAGAGATCATCCGGCTCTTGCCAGACTTGTTTTGACAAATCTGAGATCATTTGATACTAATCACAAACTTTTCTGTAAAATAAAGATACTAAGCGGCCTATGTCCCAATTGTAGGCAATTGATGACTGAAAGTTACTAAAAACCCTCAGTTACAGGGAAGCAATGTCTCTTCGCCTTGTGTGCATTGAAGTACTGGGGCCAGTAGACCCTGTGCCCTAGGGAGCCTGATTCTTCCTACGTCAGAGGAAACTCTTCCTTGGAGAGATGGAGGGAGAAGAGGGTCCCTGCAGCCAGTCCTGAATTCAGGTAGACGTCACAGGGCCTGATGCTCTGAGGTGTCTGTCTCATTGTATGTGGCTCCTGCAGCCCCTGGAACAGCTCATCTGCTGACAAGTTGCCATTTATGGTTCTGTCCCCACTTGGAAGGAATGCAAAACATTTTCATCAGTCTTGCATACCACTTGGTTACCCTACTGATGTGAATCCCCGAGTAACCCTTTCCATGACATCCAGTTACTTGTTCCTGTGCATACCATATCTCACAGTCCATCCTGCACTATTAGTTCTGGCAAGTCCACCCCAGCATATAATAAATGATGGGAGGAAAGAGCTTTTTGGCCTAGCATGGTTCAGCCTGCTGTAATATCAGAATCCAGAAAGCAGTTCTGTTTTTAGACATCCTCTTACTAACCCAACATTCATAATTTATGATTTCACTGTAAAATTCCTGCAACATGACACCAAAAGTAGTGCTGCCCTTTAATTAAGTACTCTCAATAGGAAAAATGTAGAACTGATGTGCAAAACATCTCTGTGTACATGATGATTGATAGTGATTACATCTTTATGAACCCAGCCTAGAGGTCTCAGCTTCCTGATGGGTGAAGTAGTCTGTAGGGCTACTTCCTGAGTCTGTTGCTAACCAAATCGGAGCTCATTCACAGACACAATTTAGAAACAGGGAGGTTTGAAGCCAGCATCTGTCTATACCTTTTCACAAGTCTACGTGGCATTGCTCCTCGCCTTCATGGTAAGAACCTACAACCAAATTTCATACCGTGTTCACACTGTAGAAAGGTGGTAATGCAGAAAATGAAGGCTCAGGGGAGGGTGTCTTTGAGGGACCCCAGTTGTCATGAAGATTTTTTTTTTAAAGAACAAAAAGAATGGATGACAGAAGGGATGTCTGGCCCTGTTGGTATGAGACTAGACATTATAGCCAGAAGAGGACCTTGGGCTTTTCCATTTTCAAAATTATTCTTCCAACATTTTTTTTCCTTAGCTGAAAAGAGATCCGTTTTATTTTTAAAAGAGTGCCTCTAAATGTTAGGAGATAAAATCCCAAGTCTGGGGCTACCTCGCTTATCACTGTTTTCACTCTGGTCTTACCCTTCACCAGTCAAATGGTCACATCAGTCCAAGCACATAACACCTGCTGGGAGGTAATTAGGGGAGTGCGTGTGTCCGAAATACCTCTGGTTCCTGGGAAGGAAGGCAGCAGGTCCATCCAAGGTGCTAATACGTGTATTAAGTAAGCTTTTTGCTGTATGTTCAGCTACTTTCATTCATAGTCATAGCAACGAAAACTAAAACTTTGTGCAACACTGTCATTTATCACCTCATTAATGCAACAGATAACCTTTCTCTGGAACTAGATTGATGCCATACATGCGTGTTGTTTTCTCATGTTTTTGCAGATTTGGGCCAGGCTTAGTCATCTACTGGTATGGATTTATCCAGGAGCTGGACTGTAACCGGGAGCGGGGCATCCTGCTCAAAGCCTGTTTCCCCACGGACATTGTAACCTTGTGCCATAGCACAGCTTGACCCTGATGATCCTGGAAGAAAAGCTGGGAGGAAAAGGTGAATGCGGAAGCAATTTTACTTTCCTGCAGTGTAAACTCCTGGCAACATCTGCCCTGAACTTCAGCTGAACCCTTCCTGCCCATGGTCACACCACTGCCTCTTTAGACAAACATATCAAGAGTTTCTGTTTTCCTTCATCCCTTGCCGATGTGAACAGCCAAGAACTACAGACACAGCCCACTTATTATCAGCATTTCTGTCTCTGTCAAACAGTTAGTTTATAGATAGTCATAATCTTCCTTCCTTCCGGATGGCTTCTCCTTGTATACTGAACAAAAGAAGAAATGTGGAGACTGAAAGGTGTGGTTTTTCAGTTCTCCTCCCAGTTACCGACTCACCCTGGTATCTGTTTCTAAGCCTCCATTCATTCTGTCCCCCCAGCCCTCTCTTCATGCGCTCACAGCTACTGTGCTTTGCATCACCGCCGTGGCCTCCTCTACCACAGGCCTAGCAGAACTGAAGCCATGAAGCTGCAGCCGGGCCCTCACTGTCCCCTGCAGGGCCCCAGGAGCCCTCTAGGGCAGCCTGTGCTTCTTTTGTCCAGTCTTTACGGTTTCCTGCCTTCTGTGGCTTCAGTCCAAGCTGAAAAAATACACTTGATGAGAATTTCCTCTTTTTATAATACTTATTTGAACACCCAACATTTTCCATTTATCTCATTTAAAAGTATTAGTTACATTTTGTCTGGAAACTACACCCCTTCTTTGTATTGGGGGCTGGGGGGAGAGAGCTGAAGCTCAGTGCCAGCACTGACAGTTTTATTTTTAAACACAGCCAGTTGTCAGTATGTTTGGTGATCAATATTTTTATGAGTAAAATGTTTTTAAAAGCACATTCTGTATACTACTTTGTGTCCGTGTTTCATACTACATAATTATGTAATGCTCAAATAGTTTTGGTATTAGAAATGTCCAGCTTTGAATGAATTAAGTGTCCTGGCAATAAACCTAGAGCAATTTTCAAATAAAATAAGAATTTTTTTCATTTTAATTTATTGCAAACTTTTTATACTGCAAACCAAATTTCAATCTGGAGCAAAACAACATTAAATTCACGATAAACCTATCTTTTGGCAAGTTAAGAATTAATCTATGCCCAAAAATATAGTTAGTGAACTATTTGCCCCCACCTTGACAGAACATAGTATCTTTTATAATATTGCATAGATGAGTTTGGGTGTATTCATAATGTAACTTCTACAGACACCTTCAAGTTATTTATGTTGCTTGGTTCTTTCAAGACTAAATATGTCACTCGTACTTCGTTCATTTGGTACCTAAGAAGGTTTTTATACCCAAAGTTTGCTACCTTTCTTTTTGAAAGGCACAAGCATGTCAGGTCCAAATGTGTAGATTTTAACTCTGTTGTGAGTTGCCTTAAATAAAAGAGGAAGAGAATGAAATGGTAAGGAGGCATCAGCAAACTTCTGTTTCTGAGCAAGTTATTATGCAGGTGTTGTGAGTGAAATAGAATTATGTGAAACCCCTGATAGTCTTGATATACACATGTACACATACATTTTAAACAAAACTGTTAAAAGCAGTTTTCATGACATGCCGTAAATTGCTCTTTCTTCTTCTAGGAATAAATTACATTTATCTACGCAGATGTTGAAAACCCTGTTAAACCCTTGTCAAGGATTTGTTTGTTTTACATTAAACAAATTATGATGAGGGTGCACAAATAAAGTAAAAAATAAGGAGGAGCTTGCATTTCACATTCATTCTACCTGGTGCCTTGACATGATGTGTTCTGAGAAGGTATTGGTGTTCTCCAGCAAAGGCACCGCCTCCTCTTATGATGAGGTTCTGGTATTTGGCCCTGAAGAGTGGGAAAGAAGCCAGTTGTAAACTGTACATCTATCATAAAGTTACAAGTTACTCAAAACTAAGCTGTTTCCCATGTAAAAACTAACATAATTATTATATCTACTTTTCCATTGGAAGGGTGTGGGGGAAAGGGAGTAATAGTCCCACATTGGAAGCTTGAAGCCTTCTTGTCCTTTCTTATGTTAGAAATACTTACCTGTGTTATATGTGGTGCTTGTTTAATTGCTTGCTTTTTTGCTTTAGACAAAAAAAACATCAGCCCTGGAAAGTAGCCGTTATTGCTGCCATCATTAGAACATCAGCAGTAAAGTTAAATCTTGTTTTATGGAGCATTCTGCAAACCATGCTAATGAATTATGCCAGCCCAGAAAGCAGGGCTACGTGTAAGACGTAAAACAAAGTGATGTTCTCTCTGGCACATACGGATTTGCCAAGCATCTGCTGTCACAAAAAGAGACTTCATGCAAAGCGTGGCCACAGGTCAGCTCAGCTAAGCTGATCCAGCACTAATGTTTCAAGTGACTTCATACACAACTTCCCACCCTCATCCCTATGCAAAAAGAAAAAAAAAAATTATGAGAATTTTTTTTTCCTTTGCCCTCTAGGGAGGTTTATGTCAACTCTTCCAAACACTCCTAAAATCGCATATAAATGAGAAGGTTAGGGGTCCAAAGTGGAAAGCTGGATCTCCAGGGGACATCATTTCCTTTTAACCATAGGTGTGTGTACCTGCTCATTATTAGCAAGGCTTGATTCCACCCTGCAAAGAATGATAGATTGTTGGTCTTTGGGGGGTTACTTAACTCATTCAAGCCACTAGAGGATTGCTGAGAGCCCTGGATGAGGTAATACACTAAATGGCCCTGGTGGGCCTTGCTAATTAATTCACAGCGCCCAAGTGAACAGTTAACTCATTCGCCTCTCACTTGAGGAGCAATACCCCTTGTTTCCTTTCCCCTCTGGAACCAAGATACCTTACCTGTCTGCTCTCTTTAACTTGCTCCCCATTACAGATGTGGTGTTCCAACTGAATTAACCCTTCACGCTATTCCCTTCACTTCTTACCTCTTCTCGGTTATCTTCCCCATCACTAACTTTTGCCAGTTAACTTCCCCCTGGACGCATATTCTGCATTTTCTCAGTTGGCTCTTTTTTTCTATGGAAAAATTATCTGAGCACCAAAATGCATCCCCCATTAAGTCCTGAGCCAAGTGTCACCAAGGTAGGAGTGGGCAGGGAGCAAGTGACCTAATTCCTCCAGGGAGAAGGACACCCATGCACCCTCCATGTGCCAGGGTGTTCAAGTGCATTGGTGCCACCTGAAAGGCCATAAAACTTTTAACTGAATAATAAGATCTTCCAGGATCAACTATGGCATGAGATTTAGGCTGTCAGAAAAATGTTTTTGCAAACAGAGCCAAGAGAGCATGAGAGGTTTACAGCTTACTTTCAGCCTGAGTGCTGTTCTGCTGTTTTTAAAATCATGAATTAAAATAGTAAAAAGCCTGTATGACTCGGTTAGAGAAGCGCCCCCCGGCTCAGCCATCTTGGGGACAGCTTGCCACTTGCCATGCTATCCGAAGGGAACAAATAACCTCAAAGTAAAACTACTTTGCAACAGGCATGGGAGGAGAAAAGCTCCCAACTAGCACCTTCTCCATTCGGGCTAAAGAACAAAGCAAGCGTCACTGGAGAGGAAACTAAGAGGCAAACAATGGGCCTTGTTCTGCAGTGTCACGTTTGCAGGGAGGCGCCCCTGAGCCTGTTTGTAAAGTCACACTGAGGCTAAGGAAGGGTCGCAGCGACAACTGCGACCGTCTCGTTGTAATACCCAAAACTAACCTTCCCACACACAGTAAGCACCATCTGTATGTGTTTTATGAAGGACATGCCTGGATGCCTAAGCTTAAATAAGAAAGATGGAATTATGAATTAAATGATAACCAGAACGGCCTGGGCTACCCTTGGGTTTCTCACTTTCCTGCTATTGTCTTGAATGTGGCTGTGAGACAAAGAGCTGCTTAGGTCAAGCCCTATAAATTACAGTTTTCATACAATAGTAATCCACCAAAATGATTTCAAAGCTTGATCAAAGTGCTTCAAAAAGACTTTTAAAACTTTTCCACAATGCAGGAGGAGGGGAAATGCTCTTTTGATGCCTTAATTTGTTTCGGTCAATATAGCAAAGTTTGATTTTGGCATCATACTTCCTTCATATAAAACCCAGCTCCTTAGTTCAATAAATCCAACTTGTGCTTATTGTTGTTTCATGTATACGCACAGAGGATTTAAGTTTTCACCTAGTTAACTGGCACAGCTAACCATTTGAAGTCACTTGTAGCATAAGGAAAATATATACCATTTTAAAACCAGAACATAACAATATTTAACTGTAATGTTCAATGTATTTAAGACTTACTTCCTGTGCTTAGAATAAAGCAGACATCAGTGGATTTTTTGGCATCTTAATAATCATCCTGGCAACCGATATTTTTAGTTTTTCATCACTTCTTCCTCCTCGCTTGGATATACCTGGAGCTGCCTCATATCACAGGCAAGGAGGATGGGAAGAACCCAAGCAATACAGAGCCCAGAGGCTGCTGGAACCAGCCGTGTGCAGAGGTGGCAGAGGACAGCTGCAGCAGGTCAGGCCTGGCTAAGACCCACAGGACTACGTCAAGGTATTCTTATTGTTTAAAAGGAAGGTCATTTTGAAATGCTGATGTGAAATATAACCAAGTCCATGAAGTAAGAATGACTGAAGTTCACAGTTTAACTGAGGACTGAACATGAAGCCAGTAACCATTAACCTAAATCCATCATGGATTCCCCTGGATGTGCCTTAGTTAAAGGTACTTCTAGAATAACTAGCACCTTTCTTCTTACATACAAAAATGACAAAGGTATGTTTTTATACACCTACATGCAGAAATAACAATTCCAAAGCAGGCTTTCTATATCGTAATTAATTTCTTCCATAGGGGAAACCAAAATTTAATCAAAGCCATCTCTGCAGGAAACTATAGTTTTGTACATAAACCAAAAAATATAAGCCCCCTTCATTTGATTACGCCACATTGCTCTCCATTGTTAACTTACTTTTTTCTCTAGTTGTTTAATCTAGTCAAGATTTCCGGCTGGATCATAAGCTCCATAGAATAGCAACTATATTTATCATGTTCACTGCTCTATTCCCTAACAGCTAACAGAGTTGCTGGCTCAGAGCAGGTGTTCAGTAAATGCTGAATGAACAAATGAGTGACTATTAAATTTATATTAAATATATTCTCACTCACTGGGATTAAAGAGTAGCTGGAACCTTATAATTTAAACTTATTTTTTTCAGCTGAAAAATAGGTGTTTTTACTGACATCAGGGAAAAGCATCAGATATGTTGGTGTTAAACAATTAGTTTAGAAACCCTCAAAATCTAAAATAAAGCAGTTTCATCAACCAGAATATTTTAGGATGCATACTTAGTTTTAAGGGGAATCCATGCGATTTCATTGGATTTTGACTTTATACATTATTGTTTATCCAGCACATTGCTAAATAAATGGGAACATTAAAAAATCTTATCTTTGTTTCTTTTTCTAAGAAAAAAGGCATAAAGCTTATCTTTGTCTTTACATTTCTATTTAAGAAACAGTCTCCTAAGACCAAGTCAGGACCCCAAATCAAATGTGTTTTGAACACAAATTTTGGAATACTCAGTGGAGTTATTAGATTAACTGCAAACAGTGCTTTAAATTGCACACTTTTATAATGCTGAGCTGATAGCAAAGGGCTTCCTGGCCATAGAAGTGGCTGACTGGCTCAAGAGAGAAGGGTTCATTGGTCCTTTGTCAACAGGATCTGCCTTCGGACAGGCACTGTCCATGAACTGCTCAGTGAGTGTTTCTCTGTCAGTCATTCATTCAGAGAATATTATCATTTGAAAGCCAAAGGCATTTGGCATATTTCCTCATATTTTGGAAACTTGTAGCACAAAAGGAACTGAAACTTCCACATTTCTTCTTTACTCTGCCGGTTTCCCAGGACTTAATTTGTTGGAGCAGTTTGGTGCCTGGTTCCTTCCCTGAGTATCTGGAGAAAACTGACACCCATTTCTGACATACGGATATGCCCGAGATCAGGTCCTCTCTGGCTCCAGGTAGCATTTCTGTCTTATATTTCTAGTATTTAGGCTATTCAAGATGCACGTTTATTGAGTCCCTGATGTGTATTTAAAAATGCTTAAATACAGTGCTGCAGGAAATTTTAAAATATGCAACAAAAAGTCATCTTGAAAAAAATCATTATTTGTCAAAATAAAAAATTTGAAATTTTCAGAAAAGTCAATACAGTGTAATAAGGAAAGAGATGTAAACCTATGAGGCTTTGTGTAGAATATTTTAACTCTGGAATACAGGCAGCAGATAGTTTTCTACTTGCTTATGATGGCCTTGTTCACTGCTGTTGAGAAGAATTCTGAAGCTGAGTTCAGCTCAGCAGGAATAGGGTTATAATCAATTATGGGCACTAATCTTTGGAGTGGGTAGTGATCACAAAGAGGCCACATATTTTCAATTCTTGCCCTAAGCCACTCATGTTTAGTGCAAGTATAAATAAATTCAACTAATGAAACAAGCAGTAACATTTTCCATTGGTTCTATAATATCAAGTCAAGTGTCTGGCCATGGCTGAAATCTGTGTAGTAATTCATATAAGCTAAACATGTTGATAGGAGTATATTTAAAAGCTCAAGATAAACACTAGAAGGCCAATGATAATTATTTCTTTCAGTAAAGTAAATGCCTACAAGTTAAATGACATTATTAATGAAAGATATTGAGTCTCTATTTTTGGCTCTGCCTAAGGATCTTAATACAGGAGGATTGTCTTCTATTAGATGATCTTACACATGCCTTCATTTTTTAGGGTTTTTTACCCAACCCCTACCCCCAAGTAAAACCAGGCTGGAATTTCAAGATCAGCTGCAGACCATGCCTT